CCAATATAATAGGAATAAAACATTATATAAAGTTACATATACACTATGAATGATAATGAACGTAAATGTATCTAAGAAGTACTAACTTTTATTTTTATTTGTAATACGATGACAGGTGCATCTATAGATTACGTAATGATAATACGCAAAAAGCAATTGTTAATATATTATCTATTAAAAACAACATAAGAAGCCGCTACGATCGCCAATTTTGATAGTAAAAGTTGTAAATTTATAATGAACTGAATAAATTCGTAGGATGACTAATAAAACAACAACTTTCGGGCAATATTCGACTTTATTCATCAAAATAGTCTCCTTCAATCCAAAACTTTTCTAACATTTCAATACCTTTCTTGTAGAACGAGTTATCTTTGTTAGAAGCATTATTATCACAAGATAAGTTAATTGTCAATTATTGATTATTTACTTAAGTATGTAAATATATGTTTGATTGCATTGAAAGATGTTTCTAATAAAATATTTGCATAAGATAAACTTTCGATTTTACAATTAACTTTATTATTAAAAGCTTCGAAAAAAAAAACACATTCAAAATCCTAACAATTTCTTGTCACAGAAAATATAATAAGAAAAACAAAATCATAAAATTATTTGTGAATTTTATGTTTTTTTTTTCTAAAATTCTAAAACTGTGACAATTTCATAAATCGACTTTCAAAGAATATATAGTTTTTATGTCGTTGAATTATTCAATGGCATTTCTGTTGTTTAGTTTTGTGAATTAATCACTGGTATCAAAGACGTTAGGAATAGATTCAAAAATAAATATCAAAGAATTGCTCTGGCTTACTGACAAATATATGAAGTGTTTGCATTCAATTATATTACGACGATGGATTAAGTATTAATATTTACAAGGTTATAAGAAATATTCTTATTATTTACTAAAGGCAATATTTTTAACTTTAAAATATATAACATATGCTTTTTCCTAAGCTTATAATCTGCAGTTGCCAAATAAAGTAAACTTGATTTATTATTAATAATTATTAAAATATTTATCAAAATCAAATTGCATAATATTTGCTGCATTTTAATTAATTACACCAACATGTGAATAACGAATGAATATTTAAACAAAAACAGCAGGCCTTAATAGAACTAAAAAACAAATCGAAATTAATGATTATGCTTTATTGATTAAATATATGAAAACATGTGCATTTGTTAAGAGAAATCCACGCAATGTGGATGTGTGTAATTATTTTGTTGAATAAATTTTATTATTAAAGGAAACTAGCATATCAAACAAATTCGAAAAAGTTCAAAGCGAAATACTAATAAAAAAAATAACTTAAACATGGCTCACTCAAAAACCAGCACTAGAAATTTCAAGTATTGCAGCTCAGATGCATTAAAAATATATTTTAAAAAATCTCTAAATAAATATATATAAATAAAAAAAAACACTAAAAATTGAATAATAAAAACAAGTGATGTCATGTATTATTGTGTAACGTTAAGAAAAAACGATATTTTTTTTATTAAAAAAATTGCAAAAATATAATGATTTTATGCATAAGTAAGAAGTAAGAAATAAACTTTTTTTGAACTTGCAGTTTATGACAGTTTCTTTAATGTCAAGTCGTTTTTAGTGCTTTATATCTTTTGCATTTCAAGAAACATGACTTTATAAGATTAAAATAGTATTTTTCTGTTGAAAGTAACGTGAAGACAAAGTTACTAATGTAAATGCATTAATAGTCCGGCTTTATCAGTCCGGATTCAGTATAATCCGGTTTGTAAATTTCAAAACAAATTAAATAAAAATAAATTTAAAAAAAAATAGTGCTCAAAATTAATATTTAAATATAAATTTTTAAAAGTTTTTCTATTTATATAGTTACTATGCCGTTTATTTTGTATATGCATTTAGTTTCTCGATTAGTCCGGTTGCGAACAATCTATTATATTGGTGGTATTGATTAGTCGGACTGTGCGAGGTATTGCAAATAATGAATATAAATATATTTAATTGTGTGTTTATTTTATGGTTACTTTATTTGTCAGGTTTAAATCAGTCCATATTGGCTGTACCGATTAGCCAGATTATGCGAGGTTTTGCAAATAATGCATATTCTGCAAATAAATATATTTAATTTTGTGCTTATTTTATGGTTTCTCGATTAGTCAATTACTCTATATTGACGATACCAATTACCCGGACTATGCAAGGATTTAGAAATAATGCAAATTTATATACAGTAGAACTTCGCTTAACAAATTTAATCAGTTCCAAATTTTCCAGATTTTTACTCGTATAGTGAAACATATTCAAAAATATACATAATATGTGTACACAAGTTTTAAAAATGATGTAGCAGGCGCGCAATCCGGGACTTCTATTCTCATCGTCACTCGTTATGCGAAACGTCCCTCGTTAAGCGAGTTATTTTTCTTAGAATTCATTTTGTTCTTTAAGCGAGGTTCCACTATATTTAAAATTGTGCTTATTTTATAGTTTCTCGATTAGCCAGGTTCTATTCACTCCATATTGGCGGTACCGATTATCCAGACTATGCGAAGTTTTGCAAATAATGTATATTAATATATTTAAAATTGTGCTTATTTTATGGTTTCTGGATTAGTCAAGTTTTACACAGTCAATATTGGTGATCCCCAGTACCCGGGTATATTTAATTTTATTCTTATTTTATGGTTTCTCAATTACTCAGGTGTTAAACAGTAATATTTTTGAGACCGATTACCCGGACTATGCAAGGTTTTATTTTCTGCTTATTTTATGATTTCTCAATTAATCAGGTTTCAATTAGTCTATATTGACGGTATTGATTACCCGGACTATGCGAGGTCATAGAAATAATGCAAATAAATATATTTAATTTTGAGCTTATTATATACTTCCTCAATTTGTCAGGTTTTAAACAGTCTATATTGGCGATAGCGATTATCCGGACAATGCGAGGTTTTGCAAATAATGCATATTAATATATTTAAGATTGTGCTTATTTTATGGTTTTAGGATTAGTCAAGTTTTAATTAGTCTATATTGGCAATACCGATTACCCGGACTATGCAAGCTTAAAGAAATAATGCATATAAATATATTTAATTTTGTGGTTTACATCATTTTTAGTAGAAATTATCTTCGAATTATCTCATTTTATTTTCATTTAGTTAATTTGATTACAAATTGCTTCTACAGCATAGCAAATGCATTCCGTCAGCAATGTTAATACATATTTTTATATTATCATAATAATTGAGAGAACCAGGAAACTGTAATCACTATCACATATTATACGTTTTTATTAATTATATCATTTCGTATAATACATGTTTATTTTTTCTGAAATTAATTTAACATAATGTTTTCATTTGTACGTTTTCACTCAGGACAGGTCAAAAGTCAATTACCAAAACTTGTTTACTGATAAATATTTCTCATTTTTGATGATTCATTTCTATTTGAACTATTTAATGATAAACATAATTATGACTAATTTTAACATAATGTTATCTTGTTTATTATTTGATATAATGAATATTTTTTTTATAATTGCTTCGTTGAATGTAAATGTACATATAAAAATAGAATGAAATATCTCGTACTATATAAAACCGGACTAATCAAGAACTTGAATATATCTTGAATTTTTTGTCGTAGACAAAAAATTTTTGTGATTTATTTATAGTTTATGTATAGCATATTTATAGTTTATGTATAGCATTATATAACTTAAACTGCAATTAAAGTAAAATATAGAGTAAATTACCATTGCTTTTTACGTAGAAACTTAGTAATATTAAACAAAAAATCAATTAAATAATCATTAATATGAAAGTTCTTTCGTTCAAAAATTTTATGGCTATAAGTTCATTATTTCCAATGCAATTTGTATGTTGTATATAAGTGTAAATAAATAATTAAAAATAATAATAATTTCACAAATGTTATCTATTTTAAAAAATTGGTCACTTTCTACTCAAAATTTAATAATAAACATACAATTTAGCTAATAAAGTTGAAAACTAACCTTTTTTTAATAAAGTTAATACATTAAATTACTATATAGACATAATATATATATAATGCAAAGACTTTGAAAAATCATATTCATTACATAACAAAAAAAAACTCTAGTTGTGAATAATTACATCAAAAACAAAAAATGTAAATGTTGAAAGCTTTGTAAATAAATGATGTGAAGACTTACTTGCTTTAGAAACGAGCATTATTTGCACAGGTTTCGTAACTGTTGTTTACATTATTTTTAAATTTAACTCAAATACTCGACTGTATGTGAATCACTTTGCTATTTCCTTTTCGCATTTTTCTTTGCAATTTATTTCATGTTTATTGATGAATAGGAAAAAAACGTTTCATTTGTCATTCATACATTATAATTCAAATACAATATTTTCTTGTGTTGATAGTAAATGTTCTTTGTATTGATTAATTGTAACAGTAATGTACAGTACTTATAATAATTTATTAGAAAGAAAAGTTTAAAATGGAATAAAGTCTAAGTAAACTGAATATGTTTTGGATTGGTCACAGTGTCGTGTCCGACCAATTTATTGTCATCTATTGTATAATTAATTACGAGATAATCCACGGTGTCCAAGGATTTCTTAACCCTGGGACACGACAACAGATTAATCAATTTCCCTGACAATTATTATAAGAAAAGCTACTTTATTTATTAATATAAAATAAATAAATTTAATTATTAGTAAACTGAATTTATTTATTAGGCAAATTATGAAGATACAAATTGTATTAAGATTATTTTAATATTGTTTATGAATCCTATTTCAACAAATAATTTCTTATTAAAAAATCAATGAAGCATGTATTATCATTTAAAATTGAAGTAAATCCTTTATAAACATTAATCAAATTGATTCAGAGGTTTGCATTCACTACTATTTCTTATAGGAAATGTGAGGTTAACATTCGAAGAGAGCAAAGAAAATTGGCAATATATTGATCAACCATACTATGTACTTACTGTATAAAATACATGATTTTCCGTTGGAAATTTTAAAACTTATATAACTTCACTAACAAAAAAAATCACACACTTATAGTTTTTTTTTCTATTGTCAAAGGATGCTATTAGCTGGAGCAGGACTCTAATATGTAAATAGTGCGTGTTGCACTGTATTGGCACATACTAAAGTTATGCAAGGTCAGATCCTGCTCACTCTCTCTCTCCCACTGTTTCCACTGATCAGACAGTGTGACGTCAGCCGGTTTCTCCTCCTACGAGTTGTCAGATAAGTAGGAATACCGACTCCCATTAAATAACTCCGGATCTATTGTTTACGGTTTTCGATTTGTTTTATTTTTCTTTCAATTCACTTGGAAATGCTACTGTAGAATTTGTAATTCATTCATTGATGTTTGCGTGCGGCTATAAATCAAATTACGACATTTGATTGATACGAATTGATTTATAATAGATAACTTGTTTATATTTAAAGCTCTATCATTATTTTTATAATCTGTTCATATCTAATCATTCGTAGATCATAAATAATAATTAATTTAGAAAAGTATTTTTTTATAACCGTAATAACAAAATTTACTGCATTTAAAATATAATTGGAAATAATCAGCAAGCTTTCTATTTATATCTTCATCAAAATTTATTGTATCATTATTACAATGATGGTCATTCTCCAACTCTCTTTTTGTTGTTTTTCTCAGTTTACTAATCAAAGCTTTGGACAATACATGCTCATCTCGTATGCGGGTGTTAGCAACTTAATAACAAATGTTTTATTGAATTCTAAAATTCAAATAAAGACCAAACCTTAATCCTTGATCATTAGTTTTGGTGCTCCGTGCTTACCTGAGGACAGTCTTATCTATTATGAACATAAGTAAGAAATTTAGGGTGCTTGCTAAGCAGTAGTTACGCCACAGATTATAAGGAACATATAATTTTTTTCTTTGTTATTGTCTTCAAATTGCTTTCCATTTCGCATTGTACTTGAACCGTTCGGTTTGTTACAAATTTATTATTTTAGTACTCTTGCTGTTTTTTTTGCCGCTTAAAACTTTTTTTCCACTTTTACCTTTAATGTTTAGTTTTATTAATATAGTACAGTCTTACAATAGAAATTAAACTTAATGTGTTAAATGAAAATAATATTTGTCGATTCCTTAACAATTCAATTCAAGCAAAAAAACAAAAATGTTATGTACCGAACAATAGACACTTATCTTGTTAAATGTATGGAAATAAAATTGAGTTAATACAACATAATTAAGAAATACTTTGATTGAATTCAAAGACTATCTTTTACGACCAATCAAGTTTATTGCATAATTTTTATAATTTTATAACGATCCCATATTCATCGGAAAGAAACTAGGTCGTAAAGTGAGGAGTACCTGTATTCTCTTTCAAATCATTATGAATAAATAAAATAAATATGTGGGAGTTTTATATTTTCAATTTTAATGCAGAATATTTTTGATTTTCAAAGTTGTGATTGAGCATGTAAAATAATAAAGATTTATAAGAATTCTACCCCCCCGGCGCATTGTAGTTCCGCCACTGCTGCGAAGAATTGATTTAAGCTACAATATTTAATAAAAACTCTGCTTTGTTCGTCCTTAATGCTTGTTTTCCCAGGAAATTATCATGAGAATTTGTTGAGTAAACCGTAAACTCTTGATCAAAGCGCGCGAGCGCCGAACTTGAAGTTAATGAAATCATGCCAAATTGACGTTTCCGTTGATTCCGTTCTGCGAAGGAACGATGATTACATTCCGCGAACTATGAGTTATTCGCCTTGTCCAATAACAATAATTTATTATGTAAACTGTATCCGGTAACCGGGAAGATAAATATTCAAATATTGCGTGTCCTTCCGACACCGAAATTCATTAGTGTCAGTGCAAATCAGCAGATGAGCTAATAACAGTTGGAAAACCAGAATTTCCTATTTTCAACCATCGAAAACGATCAATCAATCATCTGCTTAAACTGTATGCGATTAATTTCATATAATTACCGATCGATTCAATTTATTTACTTTTCATTTTTTTTTTCATCTGAGTGTGTAAATGATGGTTGGAGAAATTCTTCGCTGTAATAATAAATGTTGGGCTTCTTCGATATTAAATTACATGAGGAGAGAGGATGTCGAAACCGATTCATTAATCATTTAAACTAAATTAGTTCTATTGATCGGAGGGTGAACCGATTCTTTGCGACTAATGAGAGTTCGGTAAATCCGTTTGTTCCGAAATGAACCCTTTGAATATGCGAATTTTGCGATATTGTATGTGTATCTCGTTCATTTTGATATGGGAAATCTATTACCTTCAAGTTTGCTGATTGAGATTTGTATGATGTGGTCTTTACGCATAAACTAAAATTTGCTTAGTAAAGTCGGAATGTCTGTTTATGTATCTACATGATTATTTATAATTAGGAGATCAAGATTTAATCAATATACAGTGGAACCTCTAATTTCCAACACAATTTGTTATAGGAGACAGTTGAACTTTCAATTTATTCTTCGACTTTTGAGTTACATTTTCTAAGAAAAAAATAATTTGCTGTTTCCCAATATTATCCGATATTAAATACCGTATTTTCGGACGATAAGGAGCACTGCAAATTTACTTGACGATTTTGAGAAAGGAATTTTAAGTAGATTTTTCTATGAAAAAATGCAAATTACAAAATATTATTATGATATTTTGTAATTTGTGTTTAAAATTAAAATTAAACAAACGTACTTCTAAAAACTGAATACTTATATTAAATACCTCGCCTAGTACGTCTTTGATTAGTCCGGTTTTACTGTAAACTGGTTTGAAAATTGCAAAACAAATTAAATTTTAATTCAGCAAAATAAATAAAAATTCTATAAATATAAAACACATTATTTTTTTATATATAAAGTCTCCTTTTGTGCGATTTATTCAACAAAACAAAATATCTCTATTAATCCGGTTTCAAAAAGTGCAATAGAAAAGTAGAAAAATTATTAATTTTATATTTGCTATTGAACCGGCTTTTCCTTTCTTGTTTTGTTTGAGTTTTAAATTGTACAAATTGTGTTGGAAGTTTGAAATTTCTTTGAAAACTTTACTTAAAGCGCAATAGAGAAATAATTCATTTGATATGAAATAGAATATTATTGCTTTATTTGAATTTTAAAATATTTTACCAACTGTTGTCGTTTTTGAAAAATGAAATAATATTGTGAAAAGTAGGACATTTTGCTGTCGTTTTCTAACAGAATCTTTCGAAAACGTAACAACTGGAATAATTTAAGAAGAAAAATATTGCTGCAGTTTTATAACATGGAACATCCGCATAATAAAACTGGATGTGACATAAACACTCAAGTGGTATAAATAACTGGAAATTTAGTAGTAAACTTAGTATATTTTCTTTCAGGATGAATGTGGGTTTAACTTTAATGTTTTTTTTTAAATTGAAGTATATTTAAAATAGTAAAAGATAAATCTTTATTCGTAACTGTAAATATTTTACAGTGTTGTTTGTTGTCGTTTCTGAAAATAATATTGTGAAATGCAGTAAATTTTGTATAGTAAAATTGAAAGTACTATAAAAATACAATTGCTATGAATAATGAGAAAACTTAATGCGGATAATTGATTCTGCTAATATCACAAACCTTTTTTGAATTATCGGTGAATTTAGCCAGACTCATTTTTTAGAATTTAATTTGCTGAATTAAAATTTAGTTTGTTTCAATTTTTTTTTATCTGGACTACAGTGAATCCGGACTGATCAAAGCCGCACTATACGAGTTAATGCTGTACGTTCATGTTTAAAGATAATTTTGAAAACGTTTTATATGTGAATGTGAATTTCGTTAGTGTTTTAGTATTGTTTTTTATGTTTTGAATTTTTAAATACTCTATCCCTGTGGTTTCCAAACTGGCAGGCGCAGATCAGTTAAAGCGTAGTTGGAAAAAAGTATAAGAAATATAATTTTCAAAAAAGATATTTGAATGTATGATGATTATTGATGTAATTGTGGTGCTCACTCCAGTCCGCTTATATGACGTCACCTACAAGCCCGGTACGGTGCGCCACACTCCAGCCCGCAGCTGATATTCCGGGAAGGTCTGATAAGGGTACTACCTGGTTAAGGTATATAAGCTGCAACATATCTGTACCCGGGCTCTTTACTCTTATTTACTGTCTTCTCTTCCGCTTTTCTTGTGTAGTAATAACATGTAAGGTTCTCTGTATTATCTCGTGAGTATTCTCTGTGTTGGCTCTCGAGCCTCGGAACCCTTTGTATCATACTGTATTGTAACTAGCCATGATTTACTCCAATAAATGTTATACTACGAGCATCTCCAAATAATAATGAAAAATTTTGGAAGATACATACGAAAAAAAAATTGAAATTGAAACTACTGTTATATAAAGGATGTCCTAAAAGGAACTGACATTTTGCCGTCTTTTTATTGCGGTCTAACCAGTGTAAATAAAAAAACACGATCGAACAACATATAGACATTTTAGAACTTAAAAAATGGTGAAAAATTTACGAAAATTCTTCGTAACACCGTGGTGAATTTAATCAATAAATTTGAGTCAACTAGTTCAGTTATACACATCACACTGCCAATGAAACCATGCAGTTAATGCAACAAAAATTTAAAAATGTGATTTGGGGGTTATGTTATTTTAAGGATAAAGTGTACATCATTAAATCATAAACCATTCAGAACCTCAAATTTACCAGCAATTATGGTAATATTTTTTTTAGAATAATATAGGTTGAAATCGACAAAGTGTCTGTTTATATTAAATAAATTTTCCAAAATGTATCATTACACAATATTGTGTTAAATGTATGAACTGAAAACTGATACACTTTTTGTATAGCAATTTAAACGAATTATTGTTGATTACAATCCTATATCCTATTACAAAAACTGTAATTTTATATTTAAAATGTTACTAATCGCATTTTCCAATAATGTTTTTCAATTTGTTTATAATATTACAATAATTCATAACAATTTATTTAATTGTGTATTGATGATGATACATTATATTCATTTACAATTATTGATTCTATTTTTGTTCATAAGATTATAAATTTATCAAAATTAAAAAATGAGTATTCATAATTTTAATAGTGTTAACATGAATTAAACTATGAGTTCAAAAAAA